GAATAATAATTTCTGAAGTAAGGGCCTGATCCAATGCTTATTGATGCTTCAGAGCCATATCATTCTTCTGCACCAAGTCTCAAGAGAGTACAGTATAACCAAAAAGCAATAACACCATGAAAAGTCTCCCATACCAGTTCTTAACCAGGAGTCCATGGCCCCTCGGGGTCTCTTGGATCACACTATGAGAGCAACAGCTGGCAACTTTATGTCCCTGAATCAGGTAAGGAGCTCCCCCCCTTGGGGGGCTACAAGCAGGTTTAAGAGGGTCCACCCAGTTTGGCCTGGCCTGGACTGGCCTGGCCCAGCATGGGGGGGAGCCACCTTGGCCCCCTGTGGCTAAGGAAAGTCCCCAAAAATGGGCGGGTTCAAATGAGTGGGACCCAAGAACTCCTTACTGCCAACCCCCACCTGCTGTATACAGGGCTATGCAGGCAGACCTGGGGAGCTGGGCCAAGCCATGGAGTTTTTATAGCATGCTGGGGGCGGGGGGTGCTCAGGGAGAAAAAGGTTGAGAACCCCTGTCCTATCCAACCCCAGAGGTTCCTTCTGGTGGCATAAATTCACCACTGTGTCATGACTAGGCCACAGGCAGTTGAAATCAGGGTCACAGTAAGGGTTTTTGAGCCAGAACTTATGCCCTAAGAACAACCCAGTGTGCCAAAGGAGGTAAGGGAATTAGGAGCCAAGGATTCAACAGCTGGAGTTAAGGATGAAGACAAGGCTAGGCACAGCTCAGAGCAAGAACTGAAGGGAAGGCAAGGCCAGGTCTTAGCAGATAAGGTCTAAAATAGACACAGTAAGTATCTGGTGCTTCTCCTCTGCAGATCTCTTCAGTGACTGAACAGCTTCTGAATGCTGAGCTGTGACATACAGATCAGTGAGGACCAAGGGTACTAAATGCCAGACACAACACAGTCATTCTGAGCCGTCACACGCCAGCCCAGGTAGAAGCAGGGAAATCCCTAGAAGCAGTTGCTACCACCAGAGACTAACATGACTCCAAAGGTATCCCATGGGGTGCAATTTCCCCTTTTGTATCTCCAGTCATTTCACTGGTGCTCCTCCTGATGTACACTAGTGTAAAAGAGTTCAGAGTGTGTCCCCTGCTACCATTTCACTTTTCCATTTTTAATGTTACAAAAATTGAAAAAAAAACCCCAGAGAAACAAGACCCAGTGTGACTACTAAGATGCCTTTCTAAAATATTCCCTGAACTCATTAGCATTCTGTACTCTGTGCACATGTGTCTTTGTAATAAAAGACACTGAAGAAATGAGGCTTGGAAAATGAAAGTTCTGTAAAGCTACATAAAGTCTTCCCTTTTTCTCCCTCTGCATATGCACATCCTTCCAAGCAGAAGAGCTTTTCTTTTTGTTTATGGAGGGATTTTTTTTGCTCAGAGGTGTGAGGGAGAGATTAGGAAGAGGCACTCCAGAAATGAAACTGTTTATGGGGGGGGGGGGGGGGGGGGGGGGGGGGGGGGGGGGGGTGGGGGGGGGGGGGAGGGGGGGA